AATAAGGATGTAACCATAATTGGGTGCTATTAAAATGGACCGTAAATGGACAGTTCTCCCAAAAATGTCACTCAACCACCCTCATGTTGTTCCAAACCTAGGAGTTTCTTTCTTCTGTTGAACATTGAAGAAAGTTGGTACCCAAACAGTTGCTGATAGCCATTGACTTCTATTGAATTTTCCATGTTTATTTTGTGTTCAACAGAAGAAGGAAATGCATACAGGTTTGGAAAAACTTGAGGGTGAGTAAATGATGACAGAATTTTCATTTTTGGTGAAGTATGCCTTTAAATTCTCTAAAATCAGCCACCTCCCCTCATTCTAAAAAATGGTTTTACTATACACATTTTAAATCTACTTCTGTCACTTTCTGCTACAACAACACAGTAAAACATAAAACAAAATTTAAGATCATCACTCATTGCTGTAATATAACACATCAATGAAAAGAAAACTCCTACTCAACAACTGGAGATATGTATTAGATACATCCTTGCCAGAGGCTATTTCAGAAAATGGTGGCGAGCAAATCGGCCATGGCAAAAGTAAATGACGCCTATGCTTTTTTAAAATTGTCTTAACAAGTATAGAGTTATAAATGTCTGCAATGCCATCTACTACACTATACTGTGAAATCCTATACAAAGACAGATACAATAAAAGACAACAGCATGCAGTTATGAAGAAGATGTGAGTATGCATTAGGGTAGAGATCTGGTGGACAGCATTTCACTAATATTCCACCCACCTAAACAAAAGCTTGAGGATTTGATGTGTTGAAAGTGAAGAATTTAAGACATAAATATGTGTATTATAACTTGCAGTGTTAGTTGGCTGATTCTCGTAAAGAGTAAACCCAGATGTGAACACCCTTAAATGTAACCATTTCTATTAGCAGTCATGCAGCCCTACATACTAAAATGTATATTTTTATAATTATATATATATTTTTTAACTTTGTTAAAATATTTTACATCTAAAAAATTTTTTAGTTTAGTTCTAAAAAAAATTTAAAAGTTCAGGATCCCCAGCACTAGGATGCTAAACCAGACGCATCCTTAAACACAGCAAGCATATTCTGAAATCTCTGGCGTTAACACCAAAGGGGGCTTTTACCTGTGGAGCGAGAACAACATGCTGCCAGATATCTGATTGGTTTGCCTAAACACATGCACATGTTGAACAACCTAGAGCGCTGGAACAGAAAATAAACATAAACTTAACTTGTTTACTCCCAGTTACACAGCTTTAGTGAAAGTAGTACAAAGAATTTTAAAACATATTACTGCTGCATTGTTGAATCTGGAAAAAAGCACCTACAAAACAAATGTTCGTCTCTTTGTTTAATGGAAATGTCAAATGATATTAAAATTCTGTTTTTAAATAAAATAAATGCATTAAGAAATTCAATTCAGTTCACAATGATTTTTATAACGTATTTCACAAGACATTTTTTTCAAAGTAGCTTTACAGAAAATGCATGATTCAATGCTACAATGTCATTAAGGGCTAATTGCCCTGAATTTCCTTTAGTCTTTAAAGCTGTGGCTTAAAATATTGAATTTATGTTAACAGTCAATCAAAATTTCTTTAGAAATGCTGTGTATTCAAGGAAATGTAAATGAAAACATCACAAATTATCCATGAAAGCACTAAATCTACATCTCTGGTGATCACCACGTTGAATAAAATGGATGTACAAAACAAATTAGACAATTAGAGAATGCTTTAAAGAGTTTATAACCTTTCAGTTTAAGCACTTGTGTGTTATCATTTCTGATATATGCTGTAAAAGTTTCCAAAATGTTTAATCAAGTCATGTTCAAGCACAACCTTCGCCTCAAATCTTAAATCTAAATGTAATAACCAATGTTTGGCTGCTGATCAATTTTATCACTTGGCACTCTGAATATATCTTTTTGTGAAGCTTTTGGGACTTTTCTATAAAATCAAATTCGCTATTTTAGCTCTGTCACAATTCATTGTCAGACACGTTATTGCAACTCAATGAAGGGAAGACAAAGGATAAAGTTAAAATCGGCCAGTCACATTGACTAAACGTCAGTAGAAAGCTGACTGAACTGTTAGTATAGGCCACAGAGCCAAAATAGGTAACAGTGAAATACAGAGATAGCTGCACTTCCTTATACTCCTGTTTAGTTAATGGAATAAACTGACATGTGATTCTCACATGGTTAGCAGTACAGTTTATTAACCACATGGTTGTGAGAAGCATTACAGCATTGCAGTCTGCAACTCAGACCTAACTAACCGTATAATAACTGGGAAATAGGATTATCTGGACATGCCATTATTTCCAGTGTGTTCACTGCTTGTTTGGATCGCAATACTCTTTACAAGAATGAGAGCTGAATGCCAAATAAATGCAGAAGCTGTTTAAGGCATGCATATATCATTAAAACACTTCAAAATGGTTTAAAAGAAATCCTGTGTATACCACTGAAATGATTGCCAACAATTCCATTGTGCTTCAACACTTTTCTGCAACACACATCATTTGTATTTAACTAGTGGAACAGAATTTGTTATGGCAGCATTCCAGGAACACTTTCCTGATCTTAACAACCAGTATCCTCACACCCACAGAGGATATGTTCAAAACAGCACACTAGCATACTACTCTCATTATTTTTGCAGTATGTATACTGTGCACAGTAAGTAAACCTTCTGTATGCACAGAATGTCACTCCTCTGCAGTGAATGGGTGCCGTCAGAATGAGAGTTGAAACGGCTGATAAAAACATCACAATAATCCACAAATAATCCAGACGACTCTAGTCCATCATTTAATGTATTGTGCAGTGAAAAGCTGCGTGTTTGTGAGAAACAAATTCATCATTATGGCATTTTAACTTTAAAATATCACTTCTGGACAAAATACCAGTCCATATTCCATAATAAGACTTCCTTATTAAAGGCAGGGTATGTGATTTTTCAAAAACGCTTTAGAAAACTGATTCGGGCCGAATCGCAAAACAAACTTGTAGCCAATCAGCAATAAGGGGCGTGTCTACTCGTGATGTGGAGGAGAGCGCGTTCAGTGCATGGGACGGACATTAGCCGAGCCGAGCGACAGAAAGATAGAGATGGCGGATAAAAAACAATAGAGGAAAATGTCTGCGGAACGATAAGGCAAGAAGTAGGACCCGTGTAAATATCGGATCAGCTTTCCAGCGCTGGAGAGAACTCAAGGAGCGGAGGCCTGCGATCGGACGCCGAGGTTGCTTTGTTTCTTCTCAATAGGTGAGTAACACCGTGTCTACAACAGCTAAAGTCTGCCTACACTGGACGCGATCAAACGACCGTTGAAAACCATTTGAAATTTGTGTCAGCACGTCATAAATAGAACCCGGCAGCAGTTTTCTGTCGGGATTTGTTGCGCCGCGCCGCTCACGTCCGTAGACACGGTGTAACATTGGTTTTGCTTTGTTTCACAGAACTAATCGTTGCCTGGGTTGCGTACGTATATGTGGGGCGGAGCTATCAAAATAGGGGCAAGACCCTTTTGGGGTAGGGGCGTGTTTGTTTTGGTGATTTCAAATATCAACATTGGCTACCAGAAATCACTTACTCTGCCTTTAAGCAAACAAGTTTATCCCCTGTTGTCTTCTCACATCAAAATCCAATCCATAGATTTGTTTAGAACTGTTTTCACTTGTAATATTATGCAAAATGGTGTATCGAGGACTCCAACATCTGACTATTTAGCTGAATGCAGCGGTTTTAAAGTTAAAAATGTCTTAATGATGAATTTGTTTATAGAAAAAAAAGCTTTTCACTTCACAAGATATTAATTGATCAACTGGATTCATGTGGATTACTTGTGGATTATTGTGACGTTTTTGTCAGCTGTCTGAACTCTCATTCTGACGGCACCCATTCACAGCAGAGGATCCACTGGTGAGAGAGTTGTATTGCTACATTTCTCCAAATCTGTTCTGTTCTGTTTTGGGATGACCTGGAGAGTACATTTTCAGAAAATTTTAACTTTTGGGTAGACTTCAAGTTCAAATGTGGCCTAATATACCTGATTAATATTAAACAAACAAATATATTAGCAATAAAAAAAGAGAGTAAAGACTCACTGTTCTTATGTCAATTCTTTGTTCCTGAAGGTTTACGTCAATATTTACATGAAAAACATTCAGCAAAGTTTACTTCATTGAGAAATACTTGAAGGCTACACTGGCCATTGTCTGATACTGTAATTTCTTTTATAAACATTAATTATTTTTATGAGTGTGTCCAATAGCATACTAGTTTTTGCTTTGGTATTGTGAAATTTCACTGGAATCATTAGGGAATAGGAAATGTAGCTTGTTGCCACAATCCAACATGATACATTTTATCAACCATTAAAAAAACAACAACATCACAACAGTTACTGTAAATTGACAAACCACTAAAACAATGGACTAAAAACTCCTACTAAATAATATGCACTGGCCCACATAAAAAACAAAAAAAAAGTATGCAGAATATAGTGTATACTGCATTATGCACTACTCTGGTACTTCAACACAGCCACACACAAACACATACTGTACACAGCAGGAATATTGCATAAAGGGTTAACTGACCACTGCAAAAGAGTCAGTTGTGGATTAAAACTGTACAAAATGTATTGTCATGAAAGACTGGTATCAGAATAGATAGTATCAGTTTGTTAAAATTAGTAACTCAAGAATAAACTTTTGACCTGAAACATCCAAATACTGCCTGAACTTTCACACTTCCAGAAAAACAACAATGTAAACACAGGACTGCGGTTACTTTTAAAGGGAACTTATGGACATTAATAAAGTTGGATAAAAAGTTGAGGATTTTCTCATGAAAATGCGCCGATTTAACGCTAAGAAATAAGTCTTCTTTCACAAGTACTGCATTAATGTTTAGTATCACAGATTCATCTTATCGCACATCAGACTGGCAATATAACAATACGGGTTCATTTATGTCATGATACACAGTGTTTATACCTCGATATCCGGCAGCTCCTTGCTCAGCATTCGTGCCATATTTCCTCCAAATCAAAACGAATGAAGATTAAATGAAGCCAGAGCAATACAAGTGTTTGTATTCCGACGATAGTCCCGCTTTCGAGCCGTACAGGTTTACTTCCAGAGTTTACTCGTCGTCTTTCTTGAGAAACTACAGGGTCCTTTCGCGTATATAGTCAGAATGGCTGAAAATCATCCACTGCGACATCGAATTGACAGTTAAAGCAACCGCATAGATGTCTAGAGAGCTCTTTGAGGGGCTGGTGGGCACCTGTGGAGGGTCTTTCAGACGGCAGATAAAGTTTGTTAGACGCTAACTTTCTGCACACCGCACAGCGCGTGAGGACTCCGTGTTTACTTGGTCAAGTCAGGACGGGGTTAAATGTAAACACAATGGTAACATATCCCTGTCTTGAAAATGTTATTGGCATATTACTGTATTACCACTACTAGCCTACTATTATTTTTACATTGGTCCTTGATAAGGTGTTGAGGCTGGCTGCCAAGGCGTTGATATTTAGTTGCAAGTTGTTTTGAAAGCTTGTTGGCCTGTTGCTATGGGGTTTCTAGGGTGTTAGGTATGTGCTGAATTACCTAACAGCTTGTAACACACCAAAGAGAAAGGAAAAAATGAAATCGCATCATATGACCCCTTTAAATATAAAGTTAAATAGAAAAATAGAAAAATAGAACTGTGTAGCCCCGTGTTTAATGATCCGGGCTGGTAACTTAGTGGTTGTAGGTTCAGATCAGTCAATTTCTGCTAATTACAACTGTATTCCTTTATAGATATATTCAACATACACACTTACAAAAATCACAAGCTAAACTTGTTAATGTTTTCCATGATATGGGCTATATTTATAGTAGGGAAATGCTGAATACTTTGTATTTATAAAAATATAGTATGTAAAAAAAGTATGCATTATGTAATGAAAAAACATTGTCATCACATAAACATATACAATTATTTCCAGAATGAAACCCCTGCAAAACTGTTTCCCATAAAACTACCTTTAATGTTATCATAAGTTGAGAAAATTACAAGCATCTGCATTCAAGTTCCCATGATGACAGTAATTATGCATGTGTATAAAAATACATGTGTTTATTGTACTGACACAAATTTATTTTCCCTTCATCCCTCAGACAAGCCTGTAAAATGCAGATGATCCCTAACAGCAGGGTTTGTTAGATCTAGTACAACACACACACACACACACATCTTGTATTGATCACCTTGTGACAGAAGCGTCTTCAAGTCCGATAGTGTTTCAGTGGTGATCCAGTTCTTTGTAATGCAAGCAGCAGAGGATGTTAAGCCCCATTTGTACAGTGACTCAATGTTTGCAGAGAGAGGACTCATTGAATATTGTGTCATTTTTTATATGTATGCTCTTCAAAGCATTTGATCATCTTGATCTATGGCTCATTACAGTGATCTTTTAAAGGCTGTGTATATTTACTAAAACAGTAACACTAAGGACTAACCTATAAGTCTCTAGGCTGCTTTAAGGTGATGCTAAAAAATGAATGTCTTTACAAAGATTGTTTATATTGATCATTTCTGTCATCTTTTGTTCTCCAGGCTTTTATTTTGACAATACGTGTGTTTATTGGCAAATAATTAGAATTTTTGACTGTGGCTCTGAAAAGCAGCGCAGTTATTGCGGTCGATACTGCAGCAGTGAGACAGTTAACTGCAAGTCCAGAGTGAGTTGGCATTTTAAACAGGACTGCCATGTTTGTTGTCATTATTTATTTTTGTGTGTGTTTCTTGCCTTGGTTATAAATCAGGTCAGGACTTGTTGCCTCAACCATAAACAGCTGCCCACCAGTACATAAAAGTGTATAGTATGCTACTTGAGGAATGGTGCTTTAAGGGATAGGTCACCCAAAAAATTAAAATTCTGCCATCATCCACTGTTCCAAACATGTATGAGTTTCTTTCTTCTGTTGAACACAAAAGAAGATATTTAGAAGATTGTTGGTAACCAAACAGTTGACGGTAGCCATTGACTTCCATTGTATTTTTTTTTTCCATACTATGGAAGTCAATGGCTACCGTCAACGTCTTCTTTTGTGCTCAACAAAAGAAAGACACTCATACCAGTTTGTATAGATGTAAGGGTGAGTAAATGATAAAAGAAATTCTATTTTTGGGTGAAATATCCATTTAAACCTAGAAGAATCCTTCTGAGCTAAAAAAAAATTAAAATAAAAAATCCTACACTGAAAAAAATTAAATCATTGAATTTACTAAAAAAAAAATAAGGTAAGTGGTTGCAATCAATTTATGTTAGCTATATTTAAATAAACAAATTTAGTTGACTAACTTTCAACATTTTTTATTTAATTGTAGCTAAAATGAATTGTTTGCAACCATTTACCTTAAAAAAAATATTTGGTTTTTTTTTTTTTCAGTGAATCTGCCCTGATTTCTAATAATACTCAGCCTTTATTACATTTCGAAGGCAAAAAACATTACTCTTTTTAATTGCATTAAGCCCTTCAAAGTACATATTTTCTTTTTAAAAAATCTTGCTATAGCTAGCAAGCCAATCTAATTACACTCCCACCAATTTTATTTAACTTTTACAGCCAATGAAATCCATTTCTGTGTAAAATGTAATTGACCACAGCAATGGTCATTTGTTTTTTGAGTCTTGTCACTCACAGTTTTTGACCTAAAGCTATTAGTGGGCGGTATAGCTAAATATCAAATTAATGAATAATCATACTCACATACTCACTTTTTTTAGCTGAAAAATCAAATATGGGTTATTTTTGCTGAATAAACTTGTCTAAAACCCTAATGCCTGTCATTCTGGAGATAGAGGCCGCTCTTTCCTCACAGGCATCGGCACTAGAGAGCAGATCTCAGTATTACACTAATGTTTATTCACTGCTCGGGCCATTTCTGGTCATGAGGTGAAAGACTGCTTGGTAATATAATGTTATGATAATCTAGATGGTTCATAATGGGCCTCAGCAACATTTACTGTGAGTGTGCATATAGATATGTCTCTGTCCACATACAGACAGACAGGGAATCGCTGTGGTGCTGGATAAATGCCGTCATTTATTCGGTAAATGAAAAAGCATTCGCAATCAGCTGAGTAATGCATGATCCTTTATTGTCTCAACAACATTATTCTGAACAGTGTGTGGGAGACTGTATTGTCAGGTTTTTGGCATGGAAGTGTGTTTAAAACGATTAGCTTCAAATAGGATTTGCTTCATGTATGACCATGTCAAATCCAATTCCCCAATGACTGTTTCACACGTCAAGAATCATCTTTGATTTAATGTGCTTGTTCTCGCTTTCAAATTTCTCAGGCATATTGCCATTCACTGACATTTTTTAAAATGTAATTTAACTTTATTACTTGGAAAAGAGAACACTTTTTAAATCTCACTTTACACTCTTGAAAATAAAGGTTATTTATTGCCATTGATGGTTCCTTGAAGATCCTTTAACATCCATGGAATCTTTCAATTGTACAAAAGGTTCTTTATAATGGAAAAAATGTCCTTCAGATTATTAAAATATTCTGCAGTGTAGATTCCAGATTTTTGTATAATTGCAGAGTTGAAGTTCAAGAGGAGACGTGAGACAAAATGAGAAAAAAATGAAATCTCCATTTGCTCTCTTTTTAATTGTATTGATTTCTAGTAGAAACAACTGAGATATTAACGAGATCTCATTTGTGATTTTTGTATATTCATTATGGCATACATTTTGATCTAGAAGATGCTTTCTCTATACATGGCATCAAACATCACATCTTTAATTTGCCCAGCATATTGTCAGCTTTAAAACTAACAAGACTGAAAATTTTATCCCATCAATAATGCATGATATTTACAGGCTGGTGTTGGAGCAGAGAAGAGCCCAGGGACTCGGTTTCCCCCTCGACTTCATTTGGCTGTGTGACAGGATCCATAACCCTCTCTGAATCCTATCAAATGATGTGGTATGAAGTGTCATCTTCTCTCTGAGCGCTTCTGAGGAGTTTCATCTCTGCAGGGAACTGTCATCAGGTTCCTCTTCCTTTCTCTCTCTCCCATTCCATCAATCGGATGGGCTATCAGACATGTCCAATCAGAGGCCAGTTCCACTGGTCAGACTGAAGGTGATCAGCAGGTGAAGTTGCTCCCCTCTGCGTCTCTACTTCCTGTCCCACCAGGACAGCGTCCCCCTCCATGTTCTTTATCCATCCTGAGTGCAGCGAAACAACACAAGTAGTCTCTGAGATGCACAAAAGGTTTGTGTGTGTGTGTGTGTGTGTGTGCGTTCTTTCCGCTTCCTCTAGTTTTGTGTTATTTCAAAGGACAGGAGGAATGCAACCTTGGAAAAGAAAGTAGTTCATAATAGTTGTAAAAGACTTACATAAATTCAACTTCTGTTAGGGTTTATGTGGGTGTTAAATATTTTTCATGTACAGTATTCCTCACAAACAGTTCTCGAGCATTAGATTTGACTAAAACATTCTTGTTTTTCTTACATATATCATGTTTATTCATTTCCAACATTCATATTCAAGTACATTCAAAAATATGAAACCATTTTTCTGTTTGTTATGAAAGATTAATCCCCAGTTGCTGGTGTATTTTGCATGAATTTGTCGTGCCCTGAGGACAAATCCAACCCATACAAATTTACACCCTCGCAGGGTAATAAATCTCTCCGCACATAGCAACAATCTTGCAAAATCATTAATGTTTTTGTCCTCTCTTATCAATTCCATTTTCTGGAGTAATTGAGCAGTAATCTAATTGGTCCAGTGACCCTCTGCATAGTTAAACGTTATCAAAGTGATCTGTCGGCAACTGGCAGAGAACAGATGTTGCTCTTCAGTGGAGTAATCAGTCATCGACCCCTGGCTTGAGCCAATCACAATTACCTTGATTTGTGCAGTCCAGAGTGTGAGACCCCTTGTCCTAAGTCACTCAGAAACCCCCGAATGGATCAATAAACTCCTCAGTAGCTCCACCCACCTTGTTCTTACTCGTCAGTGACTTTGATGGGTTTAACCTGTTACATAATGCAATTTCAGTTTACAACAGTTAATTTTAAACTCATTTTATGTCACTAGTGCCACTAAAAGTAATTGCAGTTCTTTTTGATGCAACTAGTGGAGCAGAAATGATGCACTTTACCACATCCAAAAATGAGTAGTGTGTTTTGATTCTTAAGGTTCAGTCACATTTACCATTGCTCTGTGAAATTTTGCACGCAAAAACCAGTCACTTCAATTGGAATTCGTGCAATTGGGAACTTCCCAATGCAGATTTTACAACAGATTAAGCCTATCACGCCGCACCATTGCAGTTGACGTGAATGCACGGACACTCACTCACGTTTTAAGGACAATAGCAACACATGGGCCCTTCCTAAATGGTGCATGTGCACTTGCGATCTTTTCTTCAAAACCCTTTGAAGGTGTGGACACATTTACCATTGCTTTGCAAAATTTTTACAGATAAAATTCAGTAATTCAGTAACTGAGTTTCACATGAGGGTGAGAAAATTACCCCTGTATATTTCGCTCGTGTTAAAGTTGGTCATATGAATTTGCCATATTGCTTACTGGCTGCTATATTAATGCTATACTATTCACAACAGACAGTGGACCCTTTTTGCCCACGAAATTTCACTAATAAGACTGCACCTTTACAGTTGGAACAAATACAAACACGCTGATATTCACGGAAGTTTTAAGGGCAACAACAATACTATGGTCCATCCCAAACTATGCATGTGGACTTCTGGACTTTGTGCCACAACACAATTAAGGCATGGTCACTTTAACCATTGCTTCCAGTAATTTCTGTAGGAATCTGCACGATCAGGAGTTTCGCATGAGGGTGAAAAAGTTATCAGTGCAGATTTCGTTCATGTTCAAGTTAGTCATGCAAATTTGTTGCATTGTTTCTTTGGCTGCTTGGTTTGAAAGTGACTTTTTGCCTGCTAAATTTTGCCATTTTACAGTACTATATAAAAAGAATGCTCAACAGCGCCCTCTTTGCGCCACTGCACCCTTGATTTCACACTAGACTTCACAGCGGACTACTACCCAATAGTATATTTGTCATTATGCTACCAAAATGTAGCATGGGTGCCATTTGGGACAAAGGCAATATTTATTTTACAGATAGTTTTGTAAAATTAAAATACATGCTTTACTTTGAATTTGTAACAGCGACAGATGAGAGTATAATAAACTGTAATGTATTTTCTCACTAGTTTGTTCTCAGTTTAGGAGTGCTGGCTCATCTTGCATACAAAGAGGAATTAAACATAATTGGAGGGTTGTGTACCTGTTACAAAGCCACATGAAAGTTGTGATCATCCTCCGAATGAAAGCGGAATCGTCAAATCATTTCTGTGTGCCTATAAAATCCTGATGTGATCCCGTAAATACAATGGCTTTCTTTTGTACACTTTCAACAGCTTCACTCGCCATTCAAAGAATCAATAAAAGACCTTGAAGAAATTATGCCAGCTGATATGATGTAATCTTTTATTGTTGGCTAGATAATGCCTGGGCTGTACGTGACTGAATCACTCAGTACTCTTTTATTCGCTTTCTTTCTATCTCTTGCTCTTTATCTCGCTCTCTCTTTCTGTGCTATGGATGTCCTAGCATGTCTCAACAACCAGGAGACACACTCTGCCTCCTCTTTCGCTTCGGTTTCATCAGCCGTGCCGGGATAAAAGGGCCTTAGAGGCAGAATAATTAGATCAAACAATAGATTTAGGATTGAATTCAAAATAAGAATATCCCCTGTGTTTTTGGAAAGGTTTTACCCTTGTTTGGTGGCTACTCAGAGCTTCCCCTGTCTGAAAATACCGGTTAGTGCTGGCTTGGCTCACAATGGTCCATTGCTTGGTTTTAGAGAAAGTAATGACAGCTGGAAGCCTTAAAGTCTTTAGGATGGAGGCACAAGCTCTTGCTGGGCTGTTTGAGGATCCAAGGATAGCCAAATAACGGTTCGAAATCAACGGCATGAACAATTCTGAAAAACAAGGCAGAGTTAAGGTTAGCTCAAGGGTACGAGATACTCTAGTCTACACGAGTTTAAACACTTCTAGCTGTCTAATCAAAAGATTCACTTTTTAATATGAAAGATTACTTACTAAATGTGTGTGCAAAAAAAAAAAAAAACGTGTAATGAAAGCATAAACATCATATATTATATATAATTTAAAAACTGACCCCTTGGGGAAAATGTTTACATTATTAATTATTAATTTTGACACACCTACATTAGTTAAAGCATACGTTGTGTTTTAACAGCTTATCCTTTTATTATTTCACAGTTTAGAGTAATGTAGGTATAGGCTAAATATGATTTTAATTTTTAAGCAAGACTAAAATTTTAAACTTTTAAACTAAATTTTAAACATTTTAACTTCTAAAAACGCGTTCTAAAACGCGTTCATGCGCGAGACGCAAACGGTTAACAATGCAGCAGCAGTAGAACGCAAAATCGTTTTCTGTAAATTCTGTATAAACTCCCAGTTCATGCTTGTTTTGATTCAGAGCAATTAGGGAAATGCTGAACAAGAGACTCGCTCCGAACAGATTTGAATCAGTATGTTCACTTGCGAACAGCTGCAAACGAATCAGGTCAGATCGTGATTGAATCGTTCGATCAGTAATAAGAACCGGTAAACGTTTTTCTAAAAGAATCGGCTCAAAAGAATGATTCATTAGCGAATCAGACGTCGCTATTGCTTCTCTAGTCTAAGCAGGTAGGCGAGGGCCGTTTATGTTGTTGTTGTTTTTTTTAATGAAATGTAGTAAGTAAAACCAAGATATTAGGCTTTAGAATGTATTTAAATAAACTTTTTTTCTAAAATGAGAGTACTCTGTTAAAGTTAAATGTTCAGTAGGCTAGTGAAGTAAAATTCTGTTTGTCAAGCATTCGAGTGTTCTTTTGCATACTGGCTTACCGCTTATTTCCGGTTGTTAGCAGATTATTACATATAACCACAACACATTTTATATTTAATATTTACCATGGAGGTCAATCAATATGTAATTGTGGGTGTAAATGTGTTATTTTAGGAATCAGGTGTCATTGTGGAGTTTCCCCAGGGATCCGATGTGTGCTGTAAATGAATGTGGCATCTCATTAACAATCAACATGGTGAGTACAACCTGGCTTTGGCCTGTTTTACATTCCTGACACTTCATACTTCACACATTAACTTCACGCTTGTTTATTTCTCACTAACCGTGAACGATTTTACATTAACACATTATTTATGGACCTCTGTAGCTCACACATCATACTGAAACAAAAACATTGTTTGCAAACAAGTGAACACAAAACAGTATTTTCTGTTTGAAAATCACCTTGTCTGTTTAGGCTCAAATGTAACAGATCCATATGGAAATGGTATGATGTCGAACCCATCAGCACAAACATCAAATTACCATGCAATTAACATCTACAAACCAATACAGCACAATTTTAACACTTTCAAATAAATATTAATTCATGCGCACACACAGTGACACACGCATGCTGAAGTGTTCCCTTGCCAAAGCAAACACACTCCGGAGAGAAGCGCAGATTACCAGAGTTCAGTGTCCCAGCATCATGATGAAACTTAACGGAAATAACCTGCAACATCTGCACCGTGGCCACTTCTGCGGAGCAAATGCATCTTTGCCTCGCACTTATCGCCTCACTCCCTTGCCCCAATGCATTCTGGGGGTTTAGGTGACAAAAGGCACAAAGAAGCATTTCAGTCAAGCTTAGTCCTTTATGAAGCTGTCATGTTAGCCTGTGCTCCAAAACCTAGTGAGCTGCCTACCTAGATAGCATTTTGAGATGCTTTTAAGATACCTCATTTTGGTATTCTGTTGCCTGATGCTTGGAAGATGATGTAAAAAGGGCACAAGATCATAATGCTAATGTTAAGTTTACTTTTCACTGAAAAGCATCTGCAAATTTAACATTAGTAAAAGTTTTCAGCTAAATTTCCACAAATTGAGGACAAAAATGCTATGCAATTAGGTTTTATCTTCATGTAGCTTCATTTATAGATGCATTTTTATTAAAAGTAATTTATGTGTGAATGTGCCATTCTGTTGCACTTGAAAATTCAAGCTTTTGAATAGAATGCAAAATTGCACGAATAGAAAAAACAATCCTAGAATGAAACACAACAAGCTTGGTGTAAAAATACATTTATTATAGGGTATAGAAATGCTGATTAAAGCCTAAATATACTTATATTCTATTAATTAATATTTTATATTCTATTATATTTACTTATTTTCTATTAATTCTATTAAAAAAGTATTGATACAAATAGTATGTAAATAGTATAATAGTCCCATAATGCCTCAGAGACCAAAGAAACTAATTACAAATCAAGCAGCACGAGCAGTTGCCAATGAAACGGCCGTTCTATGCACACACTCCAAAACGAAGTGTTATTCTTAATTGCAGGTCAGTGTAAAACTGATGTGTCAGCTGCTGTGACTGCTAATTAATTCTGCTCACAAACGAAGCCAGAGACCATCTCCATCTGCTGCTGTTTAACCTGGGAGAGAGTGGCATGTCGGATTGTCATGCTCTTATTATGATAGCGTGCTCGTCTGCGATTATGACTTTTAATGGAACAAGCAACATTGACGCACATGCTTATCACAGTCTAAAAGGTTTTCAATCCAATTACACAAATGTGTGTTTTCTCTAGCACTGATTTTGTAAGTTTATTTCAAGCATCTAGTTTAAAACTTTCATAAATGATAAATAGTTAATAAAATAATATAAAAAATAAATAAAATAAAATAATTGTAAACCAGAATAATTCAAATGCATGTTGTATATGTTTTAATTGCATACCATTTATTAGCTAATATGTATGTCGGCTAAAACAATGCTTAAAGGGTTAATTCACCCAAAAATGAAAATTCTGTCATTAATTTCTCACCCTCATGTCGTTTCAAACCCATAAGACCTTCGTTCATCTTCAGAACACAAATTAAGATATTTTTGACGGAATCTGAGAGATGTCTGACCCTGCATAGACAGCAATACAACTGAAATGTTCCCAAGTCCAGAAATGTAGCAAGGAGATCTGTAAAATAATCCATGTGACATCAGGGGTTCAACCGTAATTTTACGAAGCTACGAGAATAATTTTTGTGCGCAAAAGAAAAAAAATGACGACTTTATTCAACAATTAGTCTCCTTCGCGTCACCCTGTACCGCCATTTTGGAGAGTACCAGCAGGATGTAAACAGCGTATGCTGTTCTGTGTCAGCTGCGTCACGCCGGATCTGTTTCCTACGTTGTTGTGATTTGATCTGAACGAAAACAGCGTACGCTGTTTACGTCTAGCTGGTACTCTCCAAAATGGCGCTACAGGGTGAGACGAATTGTTGAATAAAGTCGTTTTTTTTTTCTTTTGCGCACAAAAAGTATTCTCGTAGCTACGTATAATTGCTGATGAACCACTGATGGCACATGGATTATTTTACAGATCTACTTGCTACGTTTCTAGACATTGGGAACATCTCAGTTGTATTGCTGTCTATGGGAGGGTCAGACAGCTCTCAGATTCCATCAAAAATATCTTAATTTGTGTTCTGAAGATGAACGAAGGTCTTACGGGTTTGAAACGACATGAGGGTGAGAAATTAACGACAGAATTTTCATTTTTGGGCGAACTAACCCTTTAAATATATTTTCTGTTAAATTTTTTATACTATATATTGGGGAAATTTATATGCCAAAAAAAGGTCACAAAAGGTCAGCGAACTGTATCTTTTCCCCAGGGCAGTAATGGAAGAGTGTGTGTGTATATATACATACACTGTACATATATATGTGTTTGTGTAGAAATATATATTTAACTTCTGCAATACATCCAATATTCAATATAAAACTGAAAATTCGGCTTGAAATAATATAGGATATATTGGTTTTTACAGTATTTCCTGCCCATGCGGCCTTGGTTACATCAGCAGAAAATACTAAATCATTAAAGCGATAGAGAAAGATATTTAATGTTGAGAAAAGCACACATTTTTTTCTTTACAATAAAAAAGACTGCATTTTTTTCCCCCAAATAACAATAGTGGAGTCATTTAAAAATTACTCTTTAGATTAATATGCACAGTGATGAATCATGCACACACAGTCGGACATTATCATGGAACATAAAGGAACATTTATAGGTTCAATTTTTTATTTCATGTTTGATTATAAATGAGGGCTGATCTTTTAATTCAATCAGATGTGGGGTTGGCTGTGTGGACACGTGGTGTTTCAGAAGAGGGAAAATCAACCCCCATAATGCTTCTGTCGGAGAAAACAGGCATCATCAATAATTAATTACTAAACAAGGCCGTCATTAAGAGCCCCCCACTGTCTCTGTCCAGCGCAGGGATGGGGTGGGCAGACAGCATGACTCATGCACGGACTTGCAGAGATTAGGCTGAGAAACAGAGAGAAATAGAGATAGATTTAGATGGAGAGAGAGAGAGAGAGAGAGAGAGAGAGGAAGGAAGAGGGAAGGGGTCAGGGTGGAGGCAGTGAGGGAGAGAGTAGGCTTCTATTAGAGTTCATTCTGAAGTTAAGAGTCACAATGATAGCCTCTTGTCAGCAGAGTAGACCAAAACACACAACACACTGTGCTGTGTCTGTGCACGACTCTAAACGATCCTAAGCTGAGAGACCAAGGAAATTTCTATTTGATTGTTAAATGTTATTTCATAAAAAAAGACCAGGATGAAGCGGGTAAAAAAAATAAATAAATAAAATGATCCAGATCTTTTTATTTATTTGTCATTCCCTTATTTAATTGTTCCCTTATTTAATTGTCTGTCTGTCTATCTTCCATCTGTCTGTCCATCCATCTATACAGTTTTCATCATAGAATCTATCTATCTATCTATCTATCTATCTATCTATACATTTTGCGTCATCCATCCATCCATCTTTCCATCTATATACATTTTCCACCTATCTATCTATCTATCTATCTATCCATACATTTTGCGTCATCCATCCATCTTTCCATCTATATACATTTTCCATCTATCTATCTATCTATCTATCTATCTATTTTTAGTCCATCCATCCATCCATTTATCTGTCTATATCTCTCATCTCTCCATCTATTTATATCTACCTTTCCATACATTTTCTGTCCATTCATCCATGCATAAATTAAATATAAGAGCTAAGGACTAAAATCCAGGGCGAAGAGGTGTTAAAAAAATGAAATGCAAATATGTGTTTTCACATTAGCAAACTGTTTTATCATTCATGATTTATTTATTCAAATGTTCTTTAATTATTTGAGAACTGCGGTAACATAAAAGGCGACAGAATAACGATTAAAGTACTGATAAAAGGGACGAGCGCAGACGGAGCGAGATCTCGCAGGGTCAGATGGAGGACAGACGTTCAGAATAACACCTCTGAGTCCAGTGAAGATCATTCCGACAGACAGCCGGATATCACAGTCAGTTGCTTATCGCAGGACCTTGGAAATTCCAGGGAAAAAAAAAATCCCAGCCCCTCTCTCTTTCTCTTTCACAGAATAACGATTAAAGTACTGATAAAAGGGACGAGCACGGACGGAGCGAGATCTCGCAGGGTCAGATGGAGGACAGACGTTCAGAATAACACCTCTGAGTCCAGTGAAGATCATTCCGACAGACAGCCGGATATCACAGTCAGTTGCTTATCGCAGGACCTTGGAAATTCCAGGAAAAAAAAAAATCCCAGCCCCTCTCTCTTCCTCTTTCACCTTCAAAGCGGGTCTAATACGGCCTCAAAGAATACTTGATATTCTCCTATTGGTATTTGCAGATGGTGCTGCTTGCTCACACATTCATTCGGCATGGAGGAAAGGTTGTGTCTTGGGACTCAATAGATTAGTAAGTCTGGGGACAAGTGCCTGGATGCCCCTGTTTAACATGTGAATGACACACCAGTGTGCATTATTGCCTTTGGTCGGAGAAGGCAAGGAGCAGCAAGAGGGACAGTGGAGAGACCATTCAAGAGCAATTGTATTTGCATTAAATATGTATCAATGAAAAATCATGTTTCATGAGGTAGCTGTAATCTCCATTCTGAAGGGTGATGTTCTGCTGCTCCTGGACAACAAAACAATCCTATGCAAAATAAATTAGATTTGGTATTTAGAAACATTGTGATATATAAGAAATATTTCAGATTCTTATTTATGATATTTATAGTAGTTCTGGGTACATTTTAATTGTGATCTTGATTTGAATGATCTCCTCTAAATAGCAAATCTAAAAAACCCATGATCAATCCTTTTATTTTACTGTTTCCTGTGCGGTTTTCTGAAGCCACAGCTAAACAGATAAAAAAAGATTCATATTTGACCAGAGTTTGCAGTCTTAATTAAATGCAATAAGACAACAAGGATGCGTATCGTGAATTAATAGCAAGAAAACGTTTTTGATTTCTTCTCGCAGGCTGCATGCAATAACATACAACCGATTCACCACAAAATGTGAATCAAATACATACAGTACTTCACAAGCAGGGTAGTCCATTTCATAAACGAATGACTCTTTTAAACCGATTAGAACTTGAGAAATGCAGTTGATTAATGAACAAATGACTTTTTAAAACGGCTCATTTGAGTAAATCAAAAACAGAGCGCAAACAGTGTAGTCTGATTCACAAACAAATGACTCTTTTAAAAAGATTATTTTTATTGAATCAGCTACTATCTATCTATCTATCTATCTATCTATCTATGCTTCATACAATTTTAACAACAGTGAGAATTAAAAAAACATTATCTTTTCGCAAAAATGTACGTTTTTTATGTACGTATGGCTTTTTAAATGCCATGAATAAGAGTGGCAATGCTTTTGGCTTCTTTAAAAAAAAAAACAAATTCAATGGAGGACAAATCTTCAGATTATTTTCAAAGACACTCATTCCAGACTGGACAGAATGCAACAAACAAACAAACCAAAAAACAATGAAATTAAACATGAGACAAAACACGAGGACTGGCACAGCTAACGCTGACAGACAGCGAGCGCAGGAGCCTGGTTATTGAACACTGAGTGCTCTGTGAATTTGTACTGAGGCGAGCAGACAGTAGATGCTTTCCTGCGCTCTGCTTGAACCTAAAATGAAAGTGTGATTTTTTTTTTCTCCCTTTGCTTTTGACAATGAAGCTCTCCGTGAAGATTGACCGCCCTGCGTTTACAGGAGGTGGGGACCTAAGAGCTTCACTCTGAAGGGGCCTCTCAGGGGGGTAGCCAGCATTTAGAAGATCTGATTAATCATATTCTCTCTCTCTCTCTTTGAGGTGATAGCTCAGAGGTAGCAGGAGGCCTGGCCCTCGTTACGTGTGCGTCCGGGGAGAGACAGCAGTTTACAGAGCTGTGTGTGAGCAGGGAGATGAATGAACGGCACGGTGAAATAATCAATTATCACTCTCTTCACCGCTGGAACAGGCCCACACACACTGCAAAAAAAACTTAATCAGTATTTTTTGTCTTTGTCTTTTATGTAATATAATTAATATTTCGCTTGTTATTTTAGTAAAGCAATATCCTCAAAACAAGTTAACTCAAATAAATATTTTTATTCAGTAAGGATGCAGTAAATTGATCAAAACTCACAATCAAGACATTTATAATGTAATGAACGAATGCTGTTCTTTTAAACCTTTGAACTCAGAATTCTACAAATATATCAGTTTCCACAAAAATATTTAATAACATAAATGTTAAGAAGAAAATAAGCATATTAGAATGATTTCTAAAGGATTGTGTGACACTGAAGACTGGAGTAATGATGCTGAAAATTTAGCTTTGCCATCACATGAATAAAATGCATTTTTAAATATATTCAAATAGAAAACATATATTTTAATTTGTAATATTTCATAATATTACTGTTTTTACTGTATTTTGTATAAAAATGCAGTCTTGGTGAGCATAAGACCTTTAAAAGAGATTTAAAAAATCTTACCAAGCTCAAACTTTTGAAGTGTGTGTGTATGCAAAATTTGCATAAAATATTAGGCCATATTTGGATTTTTTGTTTTTAGTTTTTCTTACCCACTTTTTTGTGATAATCATTGCTTTTGTTAGAATTTTTCTTTAAAGCAATCTGAAAAGACAAGACAGTTTGTATCTGGTATTAAGAATGGTAAGATTTTTTACTAGAAAACAACAAAATATTGATTAAGAAAATGATTTTTGCAGTGCACACCCTTAAAAACAGAAACGAACACCATTTGTGTCAAAAGACAAAAACACCCGATAAAAAAAAAAAAGATTTTTGCAGAGCAAACACTTCAAAAACCCAGTCAAACCAACACCTTTTGTGTCTAATATTTAATTTCCTACTGTCAGTGAAAGCCCTTAACTGTGTTTTCTAGTATAGTCAGTGATTTTGACACAGTTGGGGATTTTTCAGGCCGAAAGGGTTTTTACTGAACATTCTTGGACGAATATAAGTCACCAGAGTTTGTGAAGAGAGGAGCGATAAAGGGGAGGAGATGAAGAGAGAGAGAGAGAGCGATTGCACCAGAATGGGATGAGAGGTGTCCACTGAGAATTTGGAAGTGGAGGATCTCACTCTGGCGTTCAATCTGCGCCAGCTCCAATACTGTGGAAATAAATTGGTTTTTAAATAGATTGCTAAGCCTCTATCAGCGAGCCACTGATGTGGGTACATTTCATAGGCGGCTATTTAAACCAACCTAAAGCCCATCCATAGTGTAACCTTATTAAAGATATCTGCTAGTTAGACTTCACTAGCTCAGCGTGCTTCACCTCCCGTCTGAAATTAATCTCTGAAACGATACACAGGATAACCGGCTTCATACATATTGTGGAATACAGAGCAGGACTGTAATTAATGTAACGAGGCTTAGTGGCCTGTATCAGCTCTCTGCAAGAAATGGACAAGCTGTGAGACTCAACAGGCCTGAGATTGTGAGGTTTAGAGGTAGGAAAGTTGTCCGTTTGAGAGCTTTTGAGGCTGAAAGGACAAAATGTTTAGAAATTGGAGAAGCATCGCCACTCAAAAATTTGGACACTCCTACTCATTTTTAAAATTATTTTCCATATTTTGAACAACTGTAATCATATGACTAAATTAACACATGCACTAATAAAAATAAAGGTTCCAAAGGGGGGATTCGTAGTGATGCATAGAAGAACCATTTTCTAGATGGTACCTTTTTTTCTTAGTGTGAAGAATATTTAAATAATCTAAAGAATTTCCATTGTAAAGAACCTTTTGTGCAGTATAAAGTTTCCAAGGTTTTTAAAGGTTCTTCAAGAAACCGTCAATGCTAATAAAGAACCTTTATTTTTATGTTTGTACACTGAAAAAAAAAATGGTGTAGAAGCAGTTTTCTCTCAGAAATTGCTAATAAGTGGCATTATTACATTTTTATTCACAACTTTGGAAAAAAAAATTTTTGTAGTGTATCAGAATTTTATAAAGAACAAAACATGTTTAAAAAAAATCCACTCTTCATTTGCTTAACCAACTTCACAATCTGCTTTTCAAACAACATTGAGGAAATTCTTTGAATACTTTTTGGCTGATTTTTCTTCACTATATTCCTCAGTTTAACAATTAAAAGACAAAAAAGTTAAATTAGTGGGGAAAAAAGTAAAAATGCAGGTCAAAAAAATAATCTAGTGTGTCCAAACTTTTGGCTGCTCATGTAGCTTTTATTTCCTGTATTGAGGGAAACATATGCTAACACAGCACATTTCCAATTGATTAATGCCACTGATCTTATTTATGGTGAAAAGCATTATGGTCTTGAGAGAAGTCAGGGGATGATTGAACATCATGACATCATGTATGAGGAAAATCCTGTAAAGGAGCTCACTTAAAAATGCTGAGCCTATAAAAAATAACCTTGCGGATCAGGCCTTTGTGCTGGGTGTAAATACCAACCCATACAAGCATGAAGGGTAAACTAATTAGTCGAATGAATAACCATTAGTCAAAAAATGATCAATTGCAAAAAAAAAGAAAAATTATTTAATTATACTCCAAAAACTAAATTAATCTATTTTATAGAACGTAGTCATGTCATGTGAATAAATTAATAATTCATACTTTAAATGTTTATAAAGCTTACGTAAATAAGTTGGCTTCCATTAGATGGGACAAAATGGATAAAATAAATAAAATTGCAGCCAAACATGCTCCACTTTTTATCAATATCTCAAATCCTTTAAAATGAATTAAAGTCACTGCAGAGAAAATGTTCCTGCAATTTAAGGCTTTTGCAAATGAGTGAATTCAACTGTCTGAGAGCAGAACAGACATAAACAGAAACATCGATCCTAGAGCTGAACAATCAGAATATAGAGTAATGGACGCTGAGTCCTGTCACCAAAACATCTCAGTCTTATTCTAAAGAATGTGATGATGACCAGAAAGGCATCTATTATGTCTGTTTTCTGATGTTTGGGTCTACATTTTGTCCTGCAAACTAAACTGCAAGCTGTCGAATGCCACAAGCTCAGACAACAAGAAGAAAAGAGCGTTGAATGGTGTCAAAATCTCAACATTCTGATGCTTTTTGAAGCATAACAACACTATCAGAATGTACAGAAGAAAAACATTATTATATTAATCTGAAATTTCTGTTCAATTGTTCATGATTTGTTTGTATATTTGTAATATTGTTTGTAATGTATTTTTTGTTTTTGGCTTGCATATTTATGACCTACATTTAAAACCGATTCTTCACCTATAAAAGCACAAAATATACAAATGCATCATAATTTGACTTAAATCCAGCTTTATTTATGATATGAGGGGGAGGAACAAAGACGATGTGCACATAAAAATAATTTCAATAAAGAACAAATGAAGATGAGCTGCAGAGGCCTGAATAATTTCATCACGTCATAAACTGCAGACAGATGGAAGTTAATCTGTGTGAGGAGTTTACAGCGAGATATTTACTCAACAGCATCAATAAAAATTATATCAGAGAGAAATTCTATCAATATTCTTCCGACATAACAACTATGAGAGTGTAGAATATTTTAGTTTTAAAAAAAAATCATTTTAATCTTACATTCAGTAAAGTATTCTAATATAACAGATAATTGTTAGGGTTGCATGTGACCTTTTTCACAATTGTCACTCCTAAGGCACTGTTCAGCAAAAATTAATAAAGGAATAAATGAACCCCCATTCATTTTGAATGTACATGCTAAGAATAAAAGACAATCACATTATTTTTTAAAGATCTAGATCTAAAGCTATTTTCATCTAAACAAATATTTCTATTAGTTTTGAACCTATGCACCACAAACACCTTAAAATGATATAAAAAAATGTCTTAAAAAGTTAACCAACTGATGTGATTTTCAGTTGTGTGGGTCCCCTAGTGGTAAAGCATTACATTATTCCTCCTCCACACCTCTTTTCTCTCTACTCATTTAAACACACAGCCGAAAGAACGATAATTACAGAGTGATCAAGGACAGAGCGGGCTGATTGTTGCCTTTAGTCTATCTGAAATGCTAATACATCACTTAAATGTGCCGAATGATAATGGAGAACAAATTAAAATGTTTGCAGATTTGCAAATCGTCCACGTCAATACATCAACAGCCGGTCTGAATGCAATCTCTTCGTTTTTATGCAAACTACATCTATAGAAAAAAGCAAAAGAATACTTTTTTCACATAAAACTCACTCATGTATATTTATAAGATTTGATCATAAGCTTTCATAAGTCAAGTAGATCCTATTAGGTTCCCTAAATGGATTTCATGGACGTTAGAATGCAGCATCATACGCTCGCCTGATACATATTCATGATATACGCGTGCCTACACGGGAAGCCACGCCGCGGTCAATCTAAAGCCGTGGTAACTGTTTATCTGCAGTGTGTTCCTTTACAATCCGCATAATTTAGCTGTCAGTGGCGTCGTGGACATTTCATTCATTTTTTTTTTTTTTTTCCCTCCATCCATCCCTTCCGGAGTTCCATATGGAAACCCTGCACGATAAATGTCATTTCAAAATCAATTTGCATTAAAAAGGTAGAGTGTGTGTGCGGTCCTGAGAAAAGAATATATGACACAAACCGAACACATTTGCATCTACAACCCCGCCCGGGACGTTACAAAATACAGCCTTTGGGGTGAGGACGGCGAATCATAAAAACCCCGGTTTTTCCTTTGCACTGGCTGAAAAGCAGGAGTAGGCGGATAAATCAACAGCACAAGCATCACACACAAACAGGAAATGCAGCTTCGCTGACTCAATAAATGGATGTGGGCGTGAACCTCTGCGTTAGCAAACGTGTGTGTGTGTGTGTGTGTGTGTGCAGGCAGGTGGGCCTTCTGGATTCAACACTCTCTAGTCCATTGCAGTCGCCGCCGACATGACTCTCCTCGACTACGCGTATTCTTAAGCAATAACAACGAGAGCCGTATTATCCACCCAAGAATACCCGTCACCGAAGAGAGTCCTTTACAGAGAGAAACAACAGAACCGCCGGCATCGTCGGAAAACGGAAAGGCCTTTTCAAAACAATTGATTGAAGACGCTTTGTAGCGCAAGGCAAGGACTTCTCAACGGCTCGTCTGCAAACAGAAATTAACAGTGCATTTTTGTTCAGTAAACGCCTCAGGAAATATGTAGCAAGTGTTTTTTTTGTTGTTGTTTTTGGTGCTATTTCCACCCAGCAATCTGTGCTCTCACAGGGCCACTCGGGGGAAAGGTGCATTTAATGAAGGAGCGGGGGATGGGGCGGAGGTGGTGGATGGGGGTTATGGGTAATCCACCCGCGCCCCGCCCCCCAACAGCATAAACTCACCTGGGATGCAAGGACCCCCGCGGAGGTCCTCCGGCTAGCATCCATGTCCTGACTCCCATTGCCACTGCGATGATTCTGATGATGATGATAGTCCACAGTAGCGGGTTCGCCTAAAAACACAGACCACCGTGGTTAAAATAGAGCGGGACGCTTGAGATCTAAATGCTATTATGGTCCACTTCATCACACACTGCACATCTCATCTGTCTAAATGATATAGAAATGGAAAAAAATTAGCCAAACAGTCCATTAACACTGTGAGGAGAATTCTATATGGAGACATGGACTCAAATGAAGCATGGCGGCACCCCCTCTATACCCCACTTGAGGATGACAGGGGGAAGGGAAAAAAAATAAGGGGTGGGGGCTAAACTGTGTGATTAGTCTAGGAGAGAAACCTTCCTCTTTTCGGAAGAAAAAAGCAACTTGTAATACGTAATAAATGCATTGTGTTACATAGAGAATTGTGAATTTCTTTATATAATAGGTCTGATTTTGATTATCGTTAAATGCATTAGTGGTAAACGTTTGGTTACTAATATTAGGAATACTTCAGTGCATTTAGCAATTTGTGTTTATGTGGTGTCACACTAATTTTAACATATAAAGATGATTTTCAGCTGACAAATGTAATTGTGTAAGAATTCTATTTTATTTGAAAGGTTTGCTTGAATACAAATACCACATTTCAACATACTCTGTTAGAATTGTTTTAATTTTTTTAATTAACAGGCCTTATTTATGGTCGTTTCATTTTTCTGCAAAATTGTATTCTGTTATAATTCCCTTGATATAATAGCTTGTGCTTAATTTACAGAATAATATTTTAATCAATAGAACACAAGCTCACAATTTTTAACAAAATAAAACAGACGTTTCTTAAAAAAAAGTCATTTTTAAGAATATAAATAGTATTATATTATCCTATCAGAACTATTAATTTCAAAAATGACACCTCTAAAAAAAATCACCTACTGAATTATAGTCTACATACCTACCCAAACAGATTTCTCTATTTTACACCAATCATTCACAAAACGAGAAAAACACAATCAGCTTTCATGCTGAAATCCACACATCTCGAAACCCAACAGAGAGAAAGAGAAGGCAGCACAAGAAACTGGAGGAGAACCTAACGGAGGCAGATGGAGAGGGAGAAGCTGGACTCGAGCACAAACGCAATAAAAGCCACTGTACGGGCACACACAGACAGTGTAGCAGCCGGCTGCTCACTCGCTCTCCAGACCCTCAGTCTGCAAAACCATCAGACGCACCTCACACACACACACACACACCCTGACGCAGGGCACACTCCCCCAGTGCTATAGCCCCAGGGCTCTCGCTCTCTCTGTCCATTTCTGAAGCTACACACACACACAAAACCCCTCTTCTAAACCCCCCAGAACTCCAGGAGTTAATCAATGGTCTCCATGCATGGATTTTATGCTTTTTTTGGTTTGTTTGTCTTTACCAAAGTTCCTCTGGGTCCAAATCTTTTTAAATGATACATATTTTTTTCCTGATTTTTTTTTTATTCTACTCTCTTCATGCAAGAACCCATTCACTCACTTTTTATATTTAAAATGTTTAAGGAATTCTAAGAATGGAACAGTTTAGAGCCAAAAAAATAAGAACATATATGTATTCTCAACCTCTCTCCACTCCTCCCTTTCTCCACAAGCGATCTGTGTTATTCCACCCCACACGAAAAGAAAAAACAAAACAACACACACACACACACACACACTTCGAGCCGGACCCTTTACTGATTGCGATTTAATTGAATGGAGCCCATGAATATGGTAATTTCACAAGACACTTGACAAGCATCAGGAGGTGTGGTGGACCACACCGGCAAAAAACAACGACACACACTATTGAAACAACGATCAATATATTTGAAAAAGAACTGGATCGATGTCCACATGTGGATGCGACTTACCCCGTCAAACCTTCAGCATCTCATCGTGCCGCCCATCTCAGCAAGGTGGGATGCCTGATCGTGATAAACCCAGGACGGTACGGCGATGTTAGAGAGAGCCAGGCGACCAGTCCCGTGGTGTGCAGGTGGACGCGGTACATGCTCGCAGGGGGGACGCTTGACAAAAGGATCAAAACCCACTGCCCACTCCCGAGCCAGTTGTTGCTTGACACAGCAAATGAACTTACAGCACAAGAGCGAGTGAAGCTGAGGGAGGGAGAGACAGACGGAGAGAGAGAGGCAGAGGAGGAGAGAGAGAGTGTTTGGCGCGTGTGTGTGTGTGAGAGAGAGATGGAGAATGAGTGAGAGAGAGGAGGAGGTGGGGGTAGAAGGGGGTTCGGAGTGAGCGGGCGAGCGAGGGAGAGAGAGAGAGAAATCACAGCATAACAAAACCTATAGCTACGTGGATGGCCACTCTCTCTCTGTCTCTCTCTCTCTGTCTCTCTCTCTCTATCT